CCTGCTGCATATTAACACTCTGTGGTGAGATACTGGTGTTGATGTTCATTTCTCAGGATGAACGCCTGAGCTTGTTCCTTAATTCCATAGGCAGACAGATACAAAATAGAGCAATTACATGACCCCCTTTCTAAAGGTCTGGGCTTCCTTTTGTGGCAAGACAGATATGAATGTAAAAGGATGATGGAAGAGGGTCTCTCTGTCTCTCCCAGCAGTAGGTACTCATATTTTCTCTGTTCTCTTTCAGATCGGAGCACAGTGTTATCTGGAGTGCTCAGCCCTCACACAGAAAGGCCTTAAGACTGTCTTTGATGAGGCAATCCTGACCATTTTCCACCCCAAGAAGAAGAAGAAGCATTGTGCAAAGTGCCATAGCTGCTGCACCCTTGTGTGAAGTCACTTGGAAATAAAAGCAAGATGAGTTCAATGAAACAAAGCAGGTTAGAAAGGCAATGAAGGTCTCAAGAAATGGGGAACATGACCAGAAAGGGGTCCTTCTTACCCAAATATAGGAGCCCTCTGTTCTGTGAAACCTCCAAGATGAATCAGACTAGGCCAACTCATGTCTATGTGCTTTCCTAACCCTCCAGAGCTGTATGCAGGCTGCTCCCACTACTGCAGACTGCACTGAGCCAACAGAAAACAGGATGCCTGCTCCTGCTTGACTCTTCACCTTAGGAATAAGGTGAGGGTGGCGTATGGAAAAATAAAGCACTAAAGGTGGTAAAAGAAACAAGTGAAACTCCATTTCTGGCCTTAAGCAAGAATCAATCAAAATTAGAAATTTGCAGTACTTAGGAATTGAATCTGAATTGACTGAAAGCACATGGAGATCTGTAGAAATCTAATATGTAAGATATACACTATAGGTAGGATGTACTTTTTAACCACTTTTCTTTTATAAAACCGACTAGTTCAGGATATGCTTTAGTTTGTTCAAACCACATGGAAGCAAAAGTGGAGTGATTCCAATTTGTTTTCACTTAATGGTGAAACCTCACAGCAACAGGATGTTGCTGCACCCAAGCTATCAAAACGGATCAACATTTACCTCCAGACTTAAGGAATGTTCTTACAACAAAAAAATGCAAATAACTGTATTTTAACAGGGGAATGTTCAGGCTGAGCCATGTTCCCATAAGCTGGGAAAGGAAGAACAGAGTTGTAGCATTAATGTACTAAAACGAAGAAAGTCTACCACCAAAGAATATAGCCCTGGTCATGAAATAGCAGCATGGAACAATCTCCCTTCCAAACTGAGAACATGAATGAGACTCATTGCCGTGGCAACTGAAAATTTACCTTACAGATCAGCTGGATTTCTACATCTCACCAAGCAGAAAGAACAGCGAAAGCCAAAAAGCCAAAGGTCATACTGACTTCGAGTGCTTTAAGGTGATCCAAATGCCTTAAGATTTTTTTTTTAATGGAGTATCTATGTAAAAAAACTTATCAAAGTGGAGGTGTAAACATGTTAATTTATTGTAGCCTCCTTCTTCCAATTCATTACTTCCTTCCTTGCTACCATTTTCCCATCTTTATTACTGGGAGTGCTGTTTAAGTTGCGGCATGACTGCAGTCTGCAGGAGTGAACTTTCACACAAGTTGCAGGCTGTGGGCTGCAACTGACAACACAGAGATGGGATGTCCAGACCTTAAGGGAACGGAAGCTGCCTGTTAACTCTTTTAGCTATTGAAGAAAGTGTGCCTTTTCACTAAACCCTCTCCAGGGAGGCTGTACATACCACAGCAACACCGACGCCCAGAGGTGAACTTGACGAATGTCTTGCTACTTGCATCTGCCTTCAGGTACCCTGGCAATATCGTGAGACTGTCTTGTTATGGATTCCATTCTGCCAGCAGAAAACGACAGTGCCAGCAAATACAGATTTGAAGATCTCTGATGTAATTCCTTGCAAAAGCAGTGCCTGCAGTTTCCAGAAGCGCTAGGAGTAAGGAAGTAACAGCAGTGCACCTTCCCAGCCTTGGAGCATTCCCCCACAACCTGCTCCAGAGGGCTGCCAGCCCACTCCTCTTCAGAAGCACAGTATCGTGGCTGAGCACAAACATGCAACCAGAAAAACTCATGTGATTAGTGGTGAATTATAGACTCGCTGTTGCTTGGAGCAATTAGTGACTTCAGCAGAACTGTAGGAACTGCACCCTTGGCACACAGAAGGGAACAAGCACGATGCAGTGCCCAGTCCTGCAGTCATCAAGGATTATGAATCCAAGCTCCTTTAGCACAAATTCACTTTACCATGGACACCTACAGAAACCAGCTGTGACACCCCAAGATGTTTCCAGGTAGAAATCAACAGTTCTCGCTGACCAAAGTGATCAAATTTGATTGTTGCTGTTACCCAGCCAGCTTTCACTCACCATCTCTTTCCTGCAGCCTGCAAGCATGGATGAAAACAACATTATGCTAAATCAGACAGACAAAAGAAAGATTTCCTCACTATTGTCATTTTTGATCTTATTTTTTATTTCATTTTATTATGTCCCAGACATTTGCTTCAAATGGACTGGCCAACAAAGCACAGCTCAGAGTGAGGACAGTGCTGAAGCCTGGTGAAGGAGTTCATGTCATGCCTCAGAGGCTGTGTTGCCATGCCCAGGCGGAGCAGTGAGTATTGGCATGGCTGGGAGACTGGCAATCAGCTGAACTGTGATGTGTGAAGAGATAGTAGGGGAGTATGAGGAAAATTAGGAGTGGATTCAATCAATAAATATTTAGGTAATGTTTTTTGTCTTACAACATGGCTAGAAGTCCACTGAAACAAAATAAAACACAAACCTTGCAACAGATTTCAGAGAAGATTAGAGCTTTGTTGTGCTGCCATTTACTTCAGTGGAAATAAAATAGCACAATTACTTTGTTTTAGCTCATGTAGGTTGCTGTAGAGCGCTAGCCGATATACAAGTCTCTGGTAAAAGTAAGTGAAGTCTGTTTTAGCTGAAGCACAATGCAAACATTCAGGTTGGAGCTGCCAGATATTCTTAGAGCTTTACAAAATACATAGGAAATAGAAATCCAGACTGACAGCTGAGCTTATCATAAAATAATGAGCACACTGGAAAAGCACAATATATCATTCCCAGCATGCTCAGAGAAAGCCACAAATAATGAAATGATATTTGTGTTTGCCACCAAGTATCAGGGGTGTCTGTTAATACTAATGGGATGGCATGGGATAGGAATATACAAAATAAAAATCAAATAGGAAGTTGTAGCATTAACGTAACTGCAGTGGCTTGAGGAAAACCAATTTAAAAACACATGGTGATGTAGAAGCTAAAATGGTACTGTCCTAATGTATGAAACCACAGCACCCTGCACAAATCATCGCATGGCAGCAAAAGCAGATAGAAAAGTATTAATATGCATATAAAAAAGTTGTCTAAAGAGGGTTTTATTTACACTTACAAAGCCGAACACATCCGATTTGTGAGGCAGTAAAATTTCAAGTTTTCAAGCTGATTGTGAGCTGTAAGAGAGGGAGGGTGGTCACAATCCACTGAGCAATTGCCTCTGCACTCCATTTATTTTTAATGTCTCTTCCAACAAAATATTTTAAAAATAGCTATGGTTAATTCAGGCCCCATAAACATTATCACTGTATTAGATTATGTAGACACACTTATCCATGCAATGTGGATCCTTACTCAAGGATCTGCCCTGTTATGCTTATTATTTTGGGGAGGAAGGAATAGCACAGGCCAATAGGTTTTAGAAAGGGATTGTAGGGAGATATAAGGAGACCCATTGACTATCTGGCAAGTTATACCTAATACCTTTTCTAAAAGCCAACAGATGGTGTGCGAAGAGGCAGCAAAGCTTATTTTCAGAAATATCAAAACACCAGACACAGTGCAAGCACAGGCATAAGGCAGCAGTTATAAACTTCAAGTTATTTTCAAGCACCATTAGTAACAAGAAAAGAAAATCAATAAATGATTGCCAGGTGAAAGGAGATAGGTTTTCTCAGTGTAAGATGAGCTAGAAACCAAGTCCCAATTTCACCTTCAAAGGAACATGGTTAGGAGAGTCATAAAGACTATAAACCATCCCTGGAACCTGTTTAACAATGTCCTCTTCATGCAGCCAATGTCAAAACCTTTCCTGACAGACCTGCCTGTGCTATCATTTAATATCATAATAGTTCTCTATCATAATAGTCCTATCATAATAGTCCTCTATCATTTCAAAAGCACTTACTGGATCTTCTAGATCCTGTAAAACCCATCCCCTTTGGCCTCATCTGAAACCTTAATGTTCTACCAGTTGTTAACCTGAAACTGTAGTTTCAAATGGACTTCCCAAAGGGTTTTCATGCAATTCTTGCAAGGAGATAATGGAGATATTAGGTATTAGAGAGATATCTCTGAGAGTTGTTATCATATTAAAACAACCTATAGATGCCTCTGTCCTTCAGAGCACTGCTAAAGGCAGTGGAACTTGGGCAACTAGTTCCAGCATAACCTGAATGAGGTACCACAAAGACTTCCACAAAAAAATTTAGGAGAGCCCCATGCAGGTCCATATAGGAGCATTTGTTCAACAAGGTATAAGTCTAGCAGATGTATCTTCACCATGCAAGCTGCCATGTCCTTACAAAAGTCCCTCTAACCCAGACATGAAAGATGCCCATCTGCTTACATGGCTTACTTACGGTCCATGACCTTTTCCATAGCCTTTTTCCCCCAAGGGGCACACTAAATACGTCTTGATTCACCATACTGAAACTTCATCTGGATTAAAAATAAATTGCAGTGGCACCAATCTGTCTCAAGCCAGGCTTGTTTAAAAGCACATTTATCTTCTCCAGCAAAGCAATCAACATATGCTCATGTTGGCCCAGGGACCATTTGTTCAGTAAACAGGTAGAATGCAGGAATCTGCCTGCACATGCCTTTCTCCCTGAATTTTCTTTCTCCCTGAAGATTATTTGTAATGTGTTTTATCCTACATAAAAAAGCAAATCTGGAAATGGCAGAACATTTTCTTGGTTCACAACTTTCTAGGACTGGGAGAGCATCTGTTCTGACAGGATGTGAGCACAGAGTGACCTATGTCAGAAAACTTCTAGACGTATTTGACCTTTGATGCATTTTGTGTTTGTAAAAATGAAGATAAATCTCTACTATAAATGTTATTTTCCTCTTAGTGAATGAAGACTCTCTGAAAGCAGGAAAAAGCCTCCACTCCTTTCAGTAGAGGCTTGTGATCTCAGCTGTCTTCACCTACAAAAACAAAAATATGAATAGAAGTATTCTTGCATCAGAAAGTGGGACAAAACCAATTAGTAGCAATGAGTGCAATAGAATGACATCTACACTTCTGCTTTGGGGGAGATATGCAAAATCAGGACCCAGAGCCACAATTAGTCAGTTCGATCCTAACATTTATATTTCATTTTAAATGTTAAGAGATACTCATAACTAGGATGAAAAAAAAGAAAATCTTCAAATACTCTTTTTTTTTTGTTTCAGTTAAAGCTGTCAGAAGCATGTGAACAAGAATATGTTTTTCCTGGGCAGTTCCAGGAACCCCAGTAGAACAGCAAAAAGAGTCAGAACCTCATTGCCAGAGGGAAATGAGCTCACAAACCCATACATCACAGAGCAAGAAGCAAAACTCATATGAATTGCTGTCAATGGTGAAAAATCTCTTTAACTTTGAAAACATGTT